TATATATATATAAACAGCCTGAAGGTTGCCCGAGTTTAGACAAAGCCAATCCAAAAGTCAGGATGACAACCGAATTATGGGCTCCCCACTTGGTAGCTAGGCGCCTTATCCGCTGATCTCTCTAAATAATGTCGCAACGCGCGAACATGTGTATCGACAGGATAAGAAACTTCATCTTACCATCCAGTGCACACATTTATAGTCCTTCCTACTCACCTTCTATGCAAACGTTTTCCTCCACTCTTAAGTAGTAGCTATCCATCCGCACCCTAAACTGACACCGCACCAAGAGAAATAACCAGCTAAATACAGGTGTTTAGCTTTAAAAAACTAGCTGAGAGGACAGATGCTATCATTACTATGTGAAAAAGATACCTCAAACATACTCACCGCAGATTTGCAGAGGGGCTTCCAATTCAAGCAGTATTGGCTGAGCAAGAAAGATTTCACGAGATTTCTCACATATATAACGGATTTCATCCTCTTTCATTTCCACCAAAGTACCTGGTCTGCCACATCGAACTAGCAAACAAATTAAATGGTCCAACGACAAGAGAAAAGTACCTTCTAAAAGACGCTCGATAAAAGCGTCAATATTGAACTCTTGAACCATGAGATTAGTGGGCGCTTAGTTTTCGGGGAATTTCAGGGAGGTCAAATCCACACGAACCAAATGCGCCCACAAAGAAAGAGGACTTCGAGACGAAAAGGTCACACCAACTACTGCAATTAAAAGGAGAGCAGCAAGGCATAAGTAAGCGTTTGTAAACACGAGAACACCTAACAAAAGACACTCAGAAGTTAGCTGTTACCGTTGTGGACTAGTGTACAGCGAGCCAAGCCTGAGTGTTTTCCGAAAGACAGAAGGTGACCACAATACGAGAAGTCAAACATCAACAGATGGTCAAAGAGGGCAGGATGGTTCAAGTGGTTAGAGCGCGAATTTATTGACCGGAAGGTCCGTGGTTCGAACCCGACCTCTGCCTCTCGACTTCCCCTGTCTAGCCTTGGGCAACCTGGCAGTGTACCAGCCCTTTGGGGGGCATGGCAACTAAGCACCGGAAGTTACAGCTGACTGAACGAAAGAGAGCACTGACAATCAATGTATCACGAGGTGGTCATAATCCGAAAAATCTACCGCACTCCTGTGGGACCACTAACTGGTCCTTCCCTACTTTTTCAGTGATAAGGTTCGAACCCGACCTCTGCCTCTCGACTTCCCCTGTCTAGCCTTGGGCAACCTGGCAGTGTACCAGCCCTTTGGGGGGCATGGCAACTAAGCACCGGAAGGGTGTTACAGCTGAACGAAAGAGAGCACTGACAATCAATGTATCACGAGGTGGTCATAATCCGAAAAATCTACCGCACTCCTGTGGGACCACTAACTGGTCCTTCCCTACTTTTTCAGTGATAACTTTACCGAAGACCGTGTAATATACGCAGCTATGTAGCACCCCTACCGTCCTAATGAGCTTTGAGGCGTAGGGAGCTCCTGGTTTCCATCAGAACTAATCCCTCAAAATTCAAACATCACATAAACGGACACTATAGAGAAAAACTGGTGTTTAACTTGGAGCATCATCAACAGAACATCAGCGTTTAGCACTGATGCTCCGCTGGCGTAAAACCATGATTCATTGGATTTATTGTGGAGAACAGAGTAAAAATCGGATGGCGAAGGAAATTCGTGGCAGCCTACTACACTACACCTCCAGACACTCACTCAGGCAATCTGGATGGAAACTGACAATAAGAACGCCATTGACATCGATTGGCAGTCATATCTTGCAGCGTCATCAATCAGGCGTAGTGGGGATCATGAGGCCCCCATCCTGGAAGGCGAGTAGCACCGACAGCGCCCAAACGTTTGGTAGTTCATTCTATATCCCTTTACTAGGTCATAGGCTGACCCTAATCGGGAACGGAAAACAGCACTCCCTTCAGTAAACGATGGTTCAGTATGCGCAATACACGGTCTAACCAACGCAGCTTCCGGTGCTGGACGCATTCACAACAGAACACAGACTCACAGATTTGCAACCAACACGAGCTATGGTTCTGAGACAACGATTGTCGAACACCTGAAGACGTCGCAGTTCCGCTGCTCGAACAGGCCGTCTCACAGCCATAAAACGTAACAGCCCGCACTGTAGCCTGATACGTACGTCCCTTGAGGTTCAGGGATAAACTACTCTGACGCCATGGGTACCTCAGACTACCTAACGCGATCCCAGCCTTGCAGATCCGTGCACTGATCTCATCTGCCACACTAGAATCAGAACTAATACAACTTCCAAAATATGCAAAGCGCTCCACAGCTTTGAGTGCCTTTATCTGGATTGTACGCTGCGTTTTCATTGACTTCATGTCCATGAGCGCGACCCTACACTCAGTGGGTGCAAATTGCATATCGAAGGACGGAGCGACGTTGGTCAGTACTTCCAAAAACACCTGTGACTAATTTTCGAACGAAAAAGCAGACAATTAAATAGGAATGGAGAGAATAGGCCGCCTTGGTGGATACCACTTTGTATACGGAGGCTTTCAGGGAGCTCTCCGTATAATCCCATACCCCGAAGTTCGTAAATACAAAGCAACTATTATGTTCACAAACTTCCGGGGACCTCCTTGATAGGTAAATGTGCGAAGAAGAACAGACCCATTAACTGAGTCGAATAAGCCTTGGAAATCCAGGAATGTTAAATTTGTGGGATTGTTTGCACATATGATGTCGTCCTATCACCTGATAGTGTGAAGATTTGATGAACGCAATCCCTATCAGGCCAGAATCCCGCTTGCTGCTCTCGAGTCAGTGGTCCACAAGCTACTATAAAACCACGAAGGAGAAGTGACGCCAAGAGTCTTGTTATGACCGAGGTTACACTGATCCCCTGTGATTACCACATTCACTACGGGCCTCTTTTTTGAAAATATGCACTACGACCGGTTCTCCCTAGCTGTCTGGGACAGGCTTTTTCTCAAATACAGACTAACAGATCAGACTAGCGTTGATTGAGGCTTAGGGCCGAACTATGGAACATGCGGGTGAAAGGTCAGCCAGATCGGTGGCGACTGAGAGGGCATATGCAGTCACAGGACTCCGACGCCGTAGGATTTCCAAGTTCATCATCCAGGGTTCCACTTCAGTTGTGACATTCAACTAAGTGAGGCTAGGTGGCCACGAGAATTGTTGTTCGAATTTTTCGGTCCAACGGTCGAGGCGTTCTTCATTATTCAAGAAGACCGCGCCCCTTCGATCATTGATGGTTTCGCAAAAATCGTTCACCTCGTTCGCACTCCTTCGGTGCCCACCTGCCATACCACCAGAAGGAACCTAGAGGGATGGAACACCGCCAGGTTGCCCAAGCCTAGACAGGAGAAATCGAGAGGCAGAGATCAGGGTCGAAACACGGACCTTCCGCTCAGTAAACTCGCGCCGTAACCACTGAGCCATCTCGCCCGACCGGTCGAAGGGATGAACTGAAATAACCTCCGGGAAGTTTTTTGTGCTCTTCCCATTTAGTTAGTCTTTCGAGTCCACCAGGCTTCATAGTCGGCATGCATACTCAATTTTTCATGGTCGGCATACACACTCAACTTGTTTGAGATATCAATATCCCCCCAAAAAACTCTGTATTTTTATGTGTGCTAGCGAACTTCCGGCATCCTCAAGGTCAAACTATGAATATATATATATATATATATATATATGCATTGTCATTTTTTCCCATGATCGCCTGTTGATCGCGTGTTGTTGGATCATTAAAGTTTGTGTCCGAGGTTTTTCGTCTTCTTACTATCCACCGTGCTAGGAGTCTGGATCAAGCAACATAGCTGGGGATAGAGTATTGCCACCATCCGCATATCATATTGTTTGCTCGCTGCGTGACCGAACCGTAACAGCGGGTCAGTCTTTTGAGTCACAAGCTCAAGGTGGGGTATCTCAAACTAACCCAGTTCTTCGGCCTGTGCGACCTGGAATCATCTTTCGTCTTTACGGGCCTTTGTTCACTGACTTCTCCGCATACATCCTTCGTACGTCATTTCGACTCATTTGGCTGTCAGTCATCCAACTATTGCTCCGTATTTAACCTGTTCAGTACAGTAAATGAAAAAAACCCTTATTAACCTCAAGTGGTCTGTTCCACATTGCTGTTTTCAATGTTCGTACTCTGTGTCGGATTGGGCAACAGGCTGTTCTCTGTTGATTGATGCATGTCGTGTTTCCGAAACACACAAGATCCAAGTTCGGTCACACGTCAAACCGCTCAGTACGAACCCAGCTTTCTCTCTATTTACGTCTGGTGATCCTGATGCAAT